GGGGGGGGGGGGGGGGGGGGGGTATTCCTCGTCGCACCACTACCTTCTCTAACCCCCGCACTTTCCTCAAGCCAGTGTTCTCAACGGCGTGCTTACGTTTGCAGGAGGCGCCTCGAGAATTTCCAGTGTACCGACGAAGGATCCGGCCTTCCAAGCGTGAGCTCACTCCCGGTGCTCGAGTTACTGCAACAACTGTGCCCACCGTGTCTTGGGGCGATGTCGTCGCCTTCGATCGCAGCTGCTCCTCCGCCGTTCCCCCCCAATCCCCCACCGCTGGTCATTAAAACTGGCCTAGCGCGGCGATAGCTGCTGCTACCCGGCACATCACGGGGGACACCATGGTTTCCACTCCAGCGTCTATTCTGCGTGTCTTCGGAGACGCAGTCTGCATCGATTCCTCTCTTGCCTTCCGCTGCAGCGTTGTCGGCTGATCCCGCCGCGGTTGGTGGCTCGTTCAGGAAACCAGTGCCATCCTCCTGGGCATCTTCGCCCTCTCCCACTGATGCTGCTGTCTCTAAGTCTGTTCCGGTTGCTGCTCCTGCCGACGTTGTACCTTTTCTCGGTTCGGCTTGGTCAGAATTCTGTTCTCCCTTGATGACCGTCCCCACACCACCGGTGACATGAAACCCGCTCAGTTCCTTGTCGATGTCATCGTCGTCGACTAGGGCACGCGCCGTTGTGCTGTCGTTGCCGTTCAGCCCCTGACAGCCGTAGCTTTCCAACGATTCATTGCCTTCTTGAGGAGACACAGTGGAACAGGTTCCCGCTGCTTCTTCTGGAACTGCCGCCCCAGAAACCCCACGTTCGTCCTGATGGCAGGAGCCACCGCCGACTCGCCTGTTGTCGTCGCCACCACCGAAGCCGTTCCCGCGACTGCTTTGACCAACGTTGCCGTCAACCACGTCTCTCCGCCGGCCAAGGATGAGAGACTCCTCATCTCCTCGGAGATGGAGCGAGGACACCGATGGCGACGGTGATGGTGCTACCACCGGGTGGCCAGGAGGTGGACCGGGGTACATCGACTTCAGTTCCCTGCCGTTACGCCGACGCGTTCACCACGTCGATGGAGAACAAGGGAGAAGGCCATGCCAAGCGTACAGCGTAAGAGAAGACAACCACGACTTTCCACCGACGAGACACAACCAGCTGCTGCAACACGGCAAACAGCCGAGAAGCCCACAGCCTACGTAACAGTTGTTGTGCAGGACATCATTCTTGGCCCATTCTCGCTCTCTCTCCGACAAAAACGTCACACGGTCTCGATCCTCAACCATGTCGCTCCCCCTTTTGCTTGACAAAAAACGCGGGAACGGTTGGCCATCTTACCTCCAAACGATCGGTGATATCACAAATACAATTGTTCGACAAACAATGTGAAACGTGAGCTGTCTCGTCTCCCACAGGCAATCTAAAGGACGATTGTCCGAAAGTATGACAAGGAACCGAGCATTCAAAAGTTGTGACTTGAAGCGTAAAATGGGTTGTGTAGTGTGCACTAAGCCTGGGTTGTGCAGGTCGTGACCAACCATTCGCGATCATGTGTTGCTGCGCTCACTGGTCGAAATCCACATCATAGGCTGCCTCTAGCAGAAAATAGTCTCCGAAGTTCGCTGCCGCGCTCTCTATTCCATGCGCTCGTCTTTAGGTCCGGATTCGCCGGGGCCGCGGCAAATGGGTCCGTTCAGTCGTCCAGGGTGGGGAGGGAGAACGCGATCGGAGTACGACGGGGGACAGAGGCGAGGAACGCCGGGAGAATGAGCGAGAAGGAAGCGGACGGATAGATATTTGAAAAAACAACCGGGTGCCATGGGGTCGGGATTAGGGAGCATGGCGACAAAGCAGTCTTGGGGGGCAAAAGGAGGCTGCACCCAAAAGGGTGACCGTCGGTATGCTTCGGAGAGCATAACGGCGCATTCTGCATCTCATGCAACTCTATTGTACCACGGGCTGCGCAAGTGCCATCGCGTCCAGCTCGCTTCTACCACTGCGTTTTGCGGGTGAGCTGAACTCGCCTGTAGATTTCAAAGAACTCGTCGCTGCGCGCCTGCTTCTGCTGCCACCTATCCAGCGCGACCTCGAAACTGCGCTTCCATTTCGACTGCCGCCGCGCGTGTGCGTTGCCGCCTGAGTCAAGGCGCGTCATGAACTCCGACGCCAGAAAGTCCAGGAAGTTGGCGGCGTCTTTCTTCTGTTCCGTCTCGTCGCCAGAAGAAGGGTTTCCGGTGCTTCTACCTCTTGGTTCAGGGGAAGACGGGAACCAGGGAGTTACTTGGATATTTATGTAGGCGGTTAGCACCAAGCACCCTATCGCGTCACTTATTGGTCGGTACGTTCTCCTTCACTTGCGGGAGTGATAAAACCTGCACCCAAGAAGCAGAAACACAGGATGTGTTTGCTTGCCTATCAACGTGATCCAGGAAGATTCTCGAAAGGCTGAGTAACCTTGTTGCATCCGGGGACAAATGCTTGCCATCGCCGAGCTTGTGGCTTGTTTGTGTGGTTGCATTCTTCAAGGGACGTAACTCAAGGATATCACCCATAGCATGCGGCAAACGATCAGCGAGAACCCAGGAGGATTCCCGACTAGAGAGAACTCCGTGTTCACCGTGCGGAGTTTTTAAACCAATACGGAGTGCAGGGGTCAAGCTATAGGGTGAAAATATGCCCTGACTTTTCGAACTTGGACATTTATCGGATACCCTACCGAACACCTCACCCTGCATAGATTCCGTGAGTCGAGTCGGAATCATTTAGCAGGTCTAGAGCAGCTGCGGCTGAGTCGGACGCGGCCGCATCCCCGAAGGGGCCGGTGATAATCCTGTGACAACACATCGAAACATCCGTCACCGGGTGCAGGTAAGAATATTTTCAGTTGATGATTGAGGGTATACGAGTCAAGGCGGCGAAAGAGATGACTATCTCGTCCGTGCTCCAATGTTCCGACAATTTTCCCTGAATATGCCTCGTGCTCATTGTATCGACAAATGCAGCTTTGTGCCAACAAGTGCTGATCTCTCCACCGCGCCACTCTTGCGCGGAAGGTTGCCAGAAGCGTCCAATACAAACGTGTGCTTCCACACGAACATACCCAAGCCGAGTGGTTTGCCCATCCTCGGACTACGACGCAAACCCGCCGAAGAAGATACTGGAGCAGCAGTGCCACCGTCAGACGCGGTATGATTTCACCTCAAACAACCCTCGCGTGGGTATAGTCTAAGAGCCAGGGAATCGCCCACTTTTAATTGAGACCGCTCCCCAATGGCCATCCCGTGACAACGCCACATTCTCGCCCAGCCGGACTGGAATCTACGTGCTGCTGTCGTACATGGAATGCGGAGAAGTTCTGCAGCAGCGGCGGTTGCACCTTTTGCCCCGGAGAGACGAAGAAGACAGTCTTTTGACGGACCCTAAACCTTCGTATAGCCACCGTGCAGGCGGAACTCCATTGCGCCGCAGATGTTCAATAGGCTCTCCCCCCATTCTAGTCCATCGTCGCGTGTGCTGCGCCTATGGGGAGGAAAGACAGTCGGCAGGTTTTGTGCGGTGGGTTGCGTGGAAAACGTAGGCTATTGATTGTTGGTGTGTGCCAGCGGCAAGAACACGAGCAGAGACTCACGTTGTCTTTCATAGTTACCACGAGCTCGGACATCTTGGGAAGACTCTGCATCCGCTCGACGCCTTTCTCCCCGCTTTCGACCAGAGCCTCGTGCAGATTGTGGCGTAGAGAAACCCATGAGCGGGCGTGACTCTTCGTCCGCATCAAATCACCAACACAGCTGTCGGACGATCCGCAAGCGCCACCTTCCCGAGAGATGATATCGGCGTGAGTACGTTTGCCCGCGCTTGTGGTATCACCTCCTGCGGTAGCTCTTCTCTTGGCGCTGGCATCACCGCGGGTCCTCTGCCAGGAGGCGAGGGCGACAGGCACATGAGCAAAGCCGAAGAAGAGTGGGGACGCGGGAGGTGTAGTGGATTAGAGTGCTCGTCGTTCGCTGCAGTTCTTTGACATACTTGTAACAGCATAGAAGCATTTTGTGTGTTATTATTATTAGCATCGACCGCGCTAACCGGCTGACCAATGAAAATACGTCAGTCTTAGTGCGGTTGAAAACACTTCTATCTGCCATGAACTGGGGCCCCGTGAGGGGGCAGCATGGGGGAGGCTAAACTATCCTTCGGATCAAGGACAGAAACAGCAGCAATAGAAGAAAACTGGACGCGTCCACCAAGGCTATTACCTTGTACTCTAGACTAGTTCGTTTAGGAGTACTTTCACCATTATCCTCGTTGTTTCCGCTACCGTCATTCTGATCCTCATTTTGACAAGAATCTTTGGGCAGTTCTTTTTGTATTTTGTGTGCATGTATGTAATCCATGGCCCGGTACAATACACGATCGATACAAGTAGTTCTTCGTGCGTATATGAAGCGTCGCTGACTTTCGAGTGGTGCGAAATAGCCTGCATGGTGAGTTACGACCATGGACATGCAACATGTTCAACACGTGGCGGTCGAATTCATACAACGCTCATATCCACACAACATGCCAAAGAGATCGTGTTGTATATGGTATGTACATGCATTGGAAGTTCATTTCGTATATCCGGTACTATGTCGATAAGAAAGTGCAGCAGTCACGCTGGGTACGTAAGATGTACTATTTGCTGTACTGTATGTAGTCGAGGCACCACTCTCACGCAGACTCAGGGAACGGGGGGAATCTACAACTGGTCAGGTCACATGTATGTGGCGCAGGGCTCGAGAGAGGTCTTCATGTCAAAGACAACAACAAAAAGTTGCACGCAGCAGGCACGCAAGAGGACTGGCGTATTTGATCGCCGAGCAAGGATACGAGCCGAAAACATGTGTACCGTACTGTACGTTGTCCGGCACCCACCTGCTGATCGGCGACGACCGCCATCGCTTTTGGGCCCATGCCGTGCAGCACGCATACGCAGGAGGAAAGCGAGTGCCCTCTTCTACTGAAACATGCAGCGTTCACATACCACGCACCAACAACGTCATGCCCGCTCTGTAGGTATTTTACAGCAGTAGTACGTCATTTTGCACATGTAACTCGGAAAGGAGGATGACGGATACATACGGCGACAAAGCTGTACATGGGAGGATTTGTGCCTGTTCGGCGAAAGGCGAACCAGACACGGAAATGCGTGACACACGCACGGATGCACCCTTGTTTTCCGCGGGCCCCCCGCGAAACGTCTGCCATTTTTCTGGAGTGTTTCCTTGTTTCCTTGGATGCTCGCACATTCCCCGTGATCACCGTTCGCTTACTCACGCCACAGCACCTCACACAACAACAACCAGGGTCCCCAATACAGCAGGAGCAGGAAAGGACGAAGAACAGGAGTCGGGAAGGGCACGCGGTTTCTTTGTCGCACTGAGGACGGAGGACGCACCACAACTCGATTGTGGTCGCTCCTTGTCGGAGGTGCGTGGACCTTGGGATAGAGACGTGGGTTTTCGCTGGCGCGCGGGCTCGAATACTTACAGTAGTAGACCACCCCCACCCCTTTCGAAATAATGAGTGCGTGGAGGTGGAGTGCGAGGTAGTCATATGGGGTATGTTCATCGATTGGGGTTGAGGCCTTCCTCTGCGCGCTCTCTCGCCGCCGCTCATGTACACCCCTCGCGATCGGTGCTTCCTTCCAACTTCCAACATTATTTTTCGGTTCGTTGTGCCGCGGCTTGGGTTTCTCCGCTTGTGCTTCTTCTGCTGTCATCGTACTGCCGTAGTAGCGTCTGCCGTTCGTTTCCCTTGATACCGACAAGACAAGGCGCGGTGCCATCAGGCCCAATCTCTCTCCCTCTGTTTGCGCCTTTGGACCTTTGCCGTGTGCACACCTCGTTTGGGAAGACACACATCCATCCAGGAGGGAAGCCAGACGTATGTATGCTATAAGGGCGGTGTGTTTTTTTGTTCGGAGAACAGCTTCCGTTGACAGCAGTGACCATCTGGTCCCCGCTAAAGAGTGTACAATTATTCTCCTCTTCGTGTTCCCCAGCAGGCGAACCGTCCACAAACACACACACGCAAGCTCGTGCTCACACGCCCAGCAAACACGGCTGCTGATGGGCGACGGACACACCGGCAGCAAGGAGCTATGGAGGCTACGGCTTCGCGCGCAGCGCCACCGCGCCGCCTCGCCAGGCCAGGGCTAAAAAGACCGCGCTCTCCCACTCAGCTAAAGGAAGAGACCAACGATCATATTGCCTGGCAGCAACAACCCCTTGGTGCTTTCGACCCCTCACCAGCAGCGCGGCATCGCACTCGGGGTGCTGGGCAGGGGGGAGAGGGTGCTTCCGCTACCCGAGGCGCCAAGGATGATGACGGTTCTGTGGGCACCGGGGAAGGCGACGGCGGCAGGGGTCATGTCCGCGGGCCAGGGAGGCGCTGGTCGGCAGCAGCATCGCCCCTGCCTCGCCAGCGGGCGGCGGCGACAGCAGTCTTGGCGGCCACCCTCTTGAGAGCGACCGCCGCGGCGGCGGCGGCGGCGGCGGCGGCGGCGGCAACGTCGCCGCTGCCCGCCGACTTCCGGCCGGCGGCCACGGCGCTGTCCTCCAGGCTCTGCTCCCCGGCTGAAGACTCCCGGGCCTACGTTACCACCATCGCCGCCGGCGGCTTCGGGGCGTCGGGCGGAAGCAACGGGGACAAGAGCGGCGACCGACTGCTGGGAGCGAGGGTTCTGGCGCAGTCTCTGAGGTCCGCGGGCGCGAAGGGCGACATCGTGGTGCTGGTGCCGCTGGAGAGGGCGACCGGGCCGACTGTGGACTCGCTCCGGAGGGACGGACTCACGGTGCAGATCGTGCCCAAGGGGCTGCAGTCCGGTGAGTGCTTTGGAGCTTTGGTGTTCTGTTCTTATGTTCGAGTCTTTTGCCTTCCAGGAACGTTACAATTATTTTCGCCGCACTCGTGTGGATTCTACAGCAGTCATCATCTACGTTTGACGTGCACACAGCAGATTTAGTTTTAGGAATGGAAAAAAGTCGAGTGCTAGGGTCCGTGTCCATGTACTGCTGTGTGACGACGCGGGCCCGTCTCGTCGAGCCGCGTCATGTTCGCTCCTATTGACAAAGTATGGGCTCTCGAACTTGGAACCTGTAATTTTCTGTGGGGAAGTGCCAAATTGTTTCGACCGTGCCGCGTAACGGCCATTGCATACCACTGCTGTATCTTCACATTGTGCGTTGTTTTATTGATTTGGAATTTATGAATTTATCTTCCGGACGATTCGTTGTTCTTCGCAATGCTCATCTCGTCTCCAACCAATTTTCCGACCAATAGGTGCTCGTTGTTAAATGCAACGAGCTTAGGCAGCACGTATTCGTTATTGTAAGAAGCTCGCAGTCTGCACATGCAACGTCCATCGCATGTTTGCATGAAATGTGCTGTGTTTTATTGTGTGGTCTTCGTGGTTCTTCGCAAAGCAAATGTGCATCTCCGGCCAAATTTCCGACGAAAGGCAGCAGTTGTTAAATAGATGCATACGAGGTTTGGTAGCCATTTGTTGCCTAAGAAGCTCGCGGTATGCGCACTGCTGTATGCATATATGCACGAGGCCCTGCTGGAGCCATACACAGCGCGAGGTCACCACAGGTGACAAGAGGATATCACAACCAGTACTAGCAGACCGATTTTTAAGCTCCATTACTCCACAGCAAAGGTGGCGCCTAAGATGGTGACGTTGGAACCGGCTTGTCAAGAGCTTTCTGAAAACGCATGATTTTTTTTTGTACATGCCACACCCTTTTTGTTGTGGAGTACTCGAGCTTTGACATTCGGTGAGAGCGGGCATGGTATCTTCTGCCACCTCCACGGTGTGTTGGTTCACACCTCCAGCAATGATGTCACACGGTGCTGAGCAGAGAGTGGAAATGTTTTGGATGTGAAGACCATCGATATTCGTGGAGATGCACGTACTGACTGTGGTGCCTCGAACTCTCTGCTGGGCGTCTGTTTTCTACTTTCTACCCCACTTTTTTTTCACTGTTTCCGTGGACAACCCTTTTGGGTCGATGCTTTTTTGTGACGTATTTCCTCCGCAGGCTTTCTGCTGCTGCTGCTGCTTCTATCGCTGTCTTTGCTGTATTGTATGCATTTGCCTAGAGCGTTTGTGCGCACCTTCCCAGCGTGTTTGGCTGTTCTTGTTTAAATCCGACTCACGAGCAAGAGTGTGCTTTACCTCTCGAGCGGCACAACAGTTTCTTCGCTTTGCGGCCCTATCCCCCGCCGGTTCTTCCTCTTCCACAAGGCCACTCCCCAATCAAAACACCCACACCGCTCGCAGAAACAGCGTCTTACCCCACCCCCCCCCTCCGTCGTCCCCCTCGTGTTTCGGTGAACCCGGTAGCCGGAGGAGAGATCGTATCCGAGGAGCTGATGACCAAGGTCTCCCTTTGGAGCCTGACGTCGTACGACCGCGTCGTGTTCCTGGACCCCCGGTCGCTGATCCAGAAGAACCCGGACGCCCTGTTCGCCTGCGAGGGCTTCTGCGCGGCTGGGGCCGTGCACTCGCCGTCCTCGTCCCCTTCGTTTCGGCCTGGCTGGGCGCAGGAGGCCGGGGCTGCGGTCGGTGCCGCCGGGCAGCAGCAGCCGCCGCCGTTGTCTCTGGCGCACGGGTCGGGAGGCAGCGGTGAGGAGGACGACGACGACGACGAGCACGACGGAGCGGCGGCGGCGGCCGCGGCCGCGGCGGTCCTCGAGAAGCCGCTCTCGGTGCCGCCCTCCTGGCAGCCCTCCACCTCCGTCATGGTCCTGGAGCCGTCCCTGGCGGTGCACGCGGCGATGCTGGACAAGCTCACGCGGACCCCGGCGGCCGGCAGCCTCGAGGCGCAGGTGTTCCTGTCCTCGTTCCTGATGGGGGCCGGCACCGACGCCGGCGACCGGTGCACTCAGTTCGAAGACCCGGTCGAGAACGCGCCGTCCGACCGCCGACGGAGCCGCGGCGGCGGACTTGTAGCAGGACAGGGTGGCGGCGGCGGGTGGGAGGACGAAGAAGCAAGAGGGGCTATTTTCGAGGGCGACGGTGGCGGTGGGGGCGACGGTGGGCTCGGTGACGCAGGAGCAGGCGGAGGTGGCAGCTTCTTGGAGGACGCACTCATGCCGGTGGTGCTCCTGAACGGGCCGCACGTCCCCCGGTGCAGTGCAGGGCGCAAGCGCACCTCGGAGGGCGTGTGCCAGCGCCTGCCGTACACGTTCGCGGCGCCGTCCACCGACTTCCAGGGCGGCAAGAACAGCTGGGGGGGCGGGGCGCAGAAGGACGACGGGGTGACTCCGGAGCCGCACATCGTGCACTTCGCCGACGAGGACACGCCGTGGAAGAGGCTGGCGTACCTCCACAAGCCCCTGTTCTGGAAGTGGAACGCGTACCGGGAGCAGCTCGAGTACCCTTACGGCAACTTCTTCGCTCCGTGGGTGCTCTTCTTCATCCCCTGCGTCGTCCTCGCGTTTGCGCGCGTCTACTACAAGACGGCGAGCGGCGGCAGCGGCGGGCGCGGCCGCAACCGCAGGACACCCTGCGGCGGCGGGGGCGGCGCCGCAGACTTGCCGCAGGACGGTTGCTCCCCTTCGAAGAGCCGGATCCCCTGGCTGCGAAGTACGAAGCAGCTGCCGGAGCACCAGCAGCACCAGCAGCAGTTGGCAATCCTTCCCGCTTGCGGGATGGCCGCTGCGTACGACGGCGCCGCCACCGCCGGCACCGGCTGTCTCGAGGCGGCAGCGGCGTCCAGGTTTAGGAACTCGTCCGGCGGCGGCGGGGGCGGCGGCGGCGTCTGCATCGCGGTCGGGGCGGACCCATCCTCCTCGTCCCCCCCCTCTTGTCTCGCGGCAGGAGGAGAAGGAGGAGGAGAGCAGCAGTTACCGGTAGGGGTGTGCTACGTCCTGTCGGCGCTGGTCGGAATGTATGGTCTGTTGTGGTTTCGGGGGGCGAGGGCGCTGGCGCGCGAGGTGGTGGACGCCGGGTGGCACCCCGTTATCTCGGTCTCGGTGCACGACGCCTGGCTGTGCTGCGCCCTGGTCGTCGGGCTGTACGTGATGGACTACCTGTTCTTCGCCCTGCTGACCCGCGGCCGAACGCTGCCGAAGGACTCGGTTGCCGTGGCCGCCGTTGTTTTGGCGGCCCGATTCCTGCATTCCATGGCGATGGACGGCGAGGGGAGCAGCAGCGGCGGCGGCGGCGGCGGCGGGGGCGGGGACGTGATCTGGGCGGGCGTCGTCGGCGCGGGGGTCATTGCGCTTGGCTTCGGCCACGGCAGTCGCGCCGGCGTCGTGCACCACCTGTCCGGCCGCGCCCACTTCCGCTGCGTGGCGGCGAGCTGCGTCGTTAACACGGCGATCTCGCTTGCTGTGTGCTGCGCTGGGCCGGAAGCGCACCGAGTGGCGACCCGCCGCATCCAGTCGGCCGCCATGACGGCGCAGATGGTGTTCATCGCGCTGGTCTACGCCTCGGTGATCGGTGGAGCTCGCCTGCGGTCCGACATCGACGAGGCGGGCTCGAAGATCAGCCGCACGTGCTCCTCGGCCTCTTTCGTGGCGGACGCGTTGATCGGGGCGGCGCCGGGCAAGGGCGGGAGCAGCACGGCGGTGGCGGCGGCGGCGGCACAGTCGCCGTTGTTGTTGGCACAAGAGAGAGCGACGGAGGGCCGCGCTAGCGGCGTCGTCGGAGGAGGAGGAGGGGGAGCGCAGCAGTGGAGCGCCGTCTCGTGGATGAAAAAGATCACGTGGCACCGCCGCCGGGTGGCGGCGGGGATCGCGCTCCTGGTTCTCTGGAAGGTGTCCTCGGCAAACCTCCGACCGGCGAGCCCGGCCAGGCACTTCGAGAAGTACGGCCAGTCTTGTCTCGAGAGCCAGGCCGGGTTCGTCGAGGCGGGCGGCAAGCGCCTGTCCAGGGTGTGCGGGGCGGAGCAGGCGCTGCGGCCGGTCGCGACGGGGGCCTACTTCGAAGCCTTCCGGCAGGACAAGGTGTGCCTCGAGGTCGCGGGCGGGGGCTTCCTGACCCTGGGCCGGGTGCACGTCGCCCAGGCGTGCCTCCCTGAGTTCCAGTTCGTGTTTCAAGAGGTAGCGTCAACCAAGCTGTCGTCGAAGGACACGGGCGACGGCACCGGCGGCGGGGGGATACTGGTCGTCGGAGGGGGCACCGCCGCGGAGAGCGTCGAGTACTGCATCTACAACCCCGCGTCCGGGTTCTACCTTAGCGCGCAGGGCCGCCCGAGAGCGCAGTGCGGGGCGATGGAGCACTGGCGCGTGAGGCCGGCCCCGCTCGCGCCGGGCCTGAAGGCCGCCGCCGCCGGCGGCGGATCCTTAGCCGGGTCAGGGGGGACCTCGACGAAGGCGAAATCGGTGTTTTCGGCCCTCCTCCACCCGAACTTCCTCTCGCGGGCCCCCCTACTCACCTTCTACGGGTATCTCCTAGCGGCGACGGCTCTGCTCGTCGCCAGGGCCCTGTTCTGGAAGCTGGCGACATCGCCGTGCGTGGTGGCGACCGGCCGCGGCGGCAGCAGCAGCAGCGGTGGTGGTGGCGGAGGCGGAGGCGGCCACAAGCACCACCGCGGTCTCGGCGCGCGGCAGCGGTCGAGGGGACGGGCTCACTCGCGTTCTCACGGCAGCAGCTTGGGCGGCTTCGTCGACACCGGGTATCTGGGCGACCCGGGCTACGCTGGGGACGCGGAGACGGGCGGCGAGGTTACGCGTGGTCCCTCGGTTTCTCCCGTGGCAGCGGCGGGAGGCCCGCGGCCGGAGTACATGGGCTGGGGTGTTGACGTGATGGACATGGACAGGCGAGGCAGTGCTAGGGGTTCAGGGACAGGGGGGAGGCAGGCGAGGCACACGTTGAAAAGAGAGGCGTCTTCTTCCGCCGGTTCCGCCGCTCCCACCTGTGGCGGGTTGCTGGCCAAGGTGCTCTCCGGGCTTGTCGTCGCCTGCGACGCCGCGCTGCTGGCCGGCCTGTGGTGCCTCGTCCCGGCGCACTTCGCGCAGGCGATGAGCGCGCTGACGCGGGATCACCACTCGGCGATCGACCAGGGCCTAGGCATGGACTCCAACGCGGCCCCGGCGGACAACGTCTGGTCCAGGAGTCTAGGAGAAGGGGTCGACAGCGGCGGCGGCGGCGGCGCGGCGAAGTACACCGTCCTCACCGGGGGCGGCGGTGAGGCGGAGTCGGGGGCGTCGGCGGCGCTCTCGTGCGACAGTGGGGCGTGGTGGCTCATGTCGGCGCTCGTGCGCTGGCACCTGCTGTTTCTGCTGGTGGCGTTCTGCCACCTGCACGGCGCCGTCAGCGCATCCTCCTCCACCGCGAGCGCGCAGCGGTTCCGAAACCGCCGCGCGGGCAAGAAGGCCAAGGCCTCCGCCGGCGCCGCCGAGTTCCGCCGCCGCTCGCCCCGGTCGTTCTGGGGCCTCCGGTCCGGCGAGCGCCTGGCGATGCGGCTGCGGACGGCGATGGGGGTCCTGACGCTGCTGTTGCTGTCGGCAGTGCTGCTGCTGCCGGAGAGGTCCGGCCTGCTGTCCGCCGGGCTCCACAAGCACCCCGGCTGGGCTCGGTGCGCGCCGGCGGCCGGCCTGGACGAGTCCTGGGGTGTCGTGTCACCCTTGCTCGTGTTCGCCGTGTTCGCGGCGACTTGCGGCGTGTACCTGCGGGCCGGGTCCTCGCCGGCCGTTCGCTGCCTCGCCGCGGCCGCGCTCGTGGTGGCGGGGGCGGCGGTCGCGGCGGCGTCAGGGCGGGAGTATCTGGTCCTCGCCCTCGCGGCGGCGGCGATGGACTGGGCGGCGTGGGCGATCGCCGGGGTGATGTCGTGCGTCTGCTACCAGACCGGGGAGGACGGCGACGGGGGCGGCCTGTCGACGACGGCCGCGCGGCCGCGGCCGCCGGCGGCGGCGGCGGAACGAGAAAGCAGCGGGAGCACCGACGGCGACGACGGTGGTCGCAGGACCGTCACGTCGACGGGGACGTCGAGAGGCAGCGGGGCGCGGCATCGCATGAACGAAGCGGCGCGGCGGATGTCGCCGACGCGTTGGGTGGTGGGCATTCGTGGGAGGGGCAGGAACGGAGGGCGGGGACTGGGGGAATCGGTGGCGAGGAGCGCCGAGTCGAATCTCTAGGGTTTACCTGTGTCGTGGTATGTCGTGGTGTATTTGTTTGCTCCCTGCCGCCGTTGTTTTGTGTGTGGCGTTAGGGAAAAATTTTGGGCGCGGTGCGTGTCTGATTTGAGATTCCCCCCGTGCAACACATTAGCTCTAGCCCGCGAACCTTTGCTTCGCAGCTGGTATCTCCTCAATAGTTGGGCTGGGGGGAATAGAAGAAAATTGTACATGTCTTCCGCGTTGTTTTTGTTGTGTCATTTAAAAGCAGCGACGAATGCCGGTGACGACTTTTTTGTTTTTTTTCATGGGAGTGGCGTGTTTGTGCGGAGTGTCTAGGGGCCGTCGGGGCAGCGGCAAGAACAAGGTATGACTAGATTGCGGTGAGGGTTTGATTGTTGAGCAGGTCTCCCCACTCTCGCCTGCGCACTTTTCACGCCATTCGTGATGGTGTGCGGCCGGCTACTATCCTCATCGTCCCGGCAAAAAAACGCTTGCTCGTCGCCTTGTGTCTGTTGTTGAGGGCTACCTGCTGTGTTTCTGCTTGTGCCCATGGCGTGCGCCCTAAAGCATGCGCGTCTTGCTCAGTTTTTTAATCGTGCCGCCTTGAAACCGGTGTTAGACTGGCGGGGTCTAGTTCGATCGTGCGGCTAGGTAGAGGATGCGTTTTCCACACGACACCGAGGGGCCCCGCAGATAGCAGCGGTTTGTCTTGCGTCAGGCACCCACTTCTTGTTTTTTACCTGTTTTTGGTTCGTTCAGCCCTTGGTGAGGTTCGATCACGGCGGTCCCCGTCTTGTCTTTTGTTGCCCAGCACTAGTGTGGAATAACTTTTGTTCTGTTGTCGGTCGGCGCTTGTGGACCGGCCGGGCACCGGAAGGGAGGTTCGCTCCGTTTCTGCCTCAACAGAGCTGTGACATGTGGCAACGGCCCTTTGGGCGCGCAGACGAAATCGCCTGCAGCCAATGTCCACAGCAATTTTGTTTTTTTGGTGCTTGTGTGAGGCGGAGGGCAAGTCGACATGTTTTGTAGTTTCGATCTTGAGGAGAGCCCTCGCCTGTGTTCCCCAGATCTCGTCGAGGCTCTGTTTCCTTCTCAACATGAGAAGAAATGGAGCCAGCCGCGTCCGTTTGCGGGCGCGGTCGACGGAGCGGTATTACACCAGACGATATAGAAGTCACTGCAGTTGTGTTTCTTCGGCGTGGTGCAAGATGCAACCGTGGAGAGGGCGGCGGAGGGTCCCGTGAGACACAGGGGGCGTGTAAGGCACTGTGCTGCTTCGTCGTGCGGTGGCACGATCTGCTTTCGGTTTTCCTCTTGTGCTCGCGGCGTTTCGTTGCCGCGGTTGGACGTGGTGTTTTGTATCACAGGTGTAGTACCGGGCGAGAGTCTGCCGCAGGTATTTTTTGGGTCGTGTATGAGGTTGATTCAGTTTGTGAGGAAAGGGGGGCGTGTGCTGGTCTCGCGTGAAAAAACACGGAGGAAAAAAAAGTCCATGTCCATCCTCATTTTTTGTTGATCATGTTTGAGTTTTTGGTAGCTTCCAGCACTGATTTGGCCTGTTTTACGAGCTCGTCATTGGTGTGATGGCGTGCTGGGTAAGGTGACACACGACAGTAGTTGGTGTGCGACACAAGCGTTTAGAGTCGTTATTTCGAAGTAGGTTCTATGGCGTCGTGCAGGAGAAGCGCGAAAAGGAGGAGGGGAAGTGCTGAATATGTAACGATTTTCCGATCGAAGAACCACAGGGGGGCGAAGCGAGGCAATTCTTCACACCGAAGACAGGGGCGACCTTTCCTCGCTTCAAGGAACAACGCAGATGTTGACAAAACGAATCTGTTCCGTTTTTGCGTATTTGTTCAACGATATTTATGCGTTGTACGTTGTCTGCTGCCCCTGTCGCTATTATCAATCCTCGCCATTGAATAGCTGCCCTTCTCACGCTCTTCGTCTAAGACTTTGAGTCGATCGACGAAATACGTTAAGGGTTTGGGAGCCGATCCATGAAAGTCAAGGACTTGAACACCCCAGGATGACGACCCCCCCCACGAAAATACTCACGTCATTCCAATGGCAAATCGAGGTTTCTCCTGCGGCTGAAAAAAACAGAATAACGACTGCATTTTGTTTTGTGGTGTGGTGGCACAGAAATCCTGGCACAGGAACTGAGATTTTCTGTTAGCTCATGAATTCGCAGGCCGTTCCGTCCCGGCGGTGACCTCGCGCGACCAAACTGAGACATGGCACGAAGTCTCACGGCGCGCCTCGTCGAGTTGACGGAATGGCGGCAGCTTCAGTGCAACACCTCTCTTTCTCTCTCTGCACCATGTTTTAATGCTTGCAAGCAATTCCGCCTGCAAACTGAATGCATGACCGGAAAAACCGCCATAACCCCCCCCCCCAACAACAACACTACTACCATGACACCGACCAAAACGAACCCAAAATGTTGTACCTCTTGGATGTCGCACGGTGGGTAGCCGCTTGCAGAAACTGCTCGACGCAACACCTCTACCGCCTGGAGCTATCAAGGCACGGGGTCACCTGGCGAAGCCCAAAAATCGCCTCACACACCACAACTAGCTATTTGGTGCAAACCAAACGACGAGAGGTGGGGTCACATGTTGCTTGCCTTGGGTCACTTGGCCCACAAGGCTTCCTACTCCTGAACGAGAAACCACCAACGCATGACGGCGCTGCACTACGTTTCCGCCGCACCAACCACACCTAGCTACGGGTGGGTGGGTGGGTGGGCAGGGGGTAGATAAACAGGCGGGCCCGGGCGACTCCCAAACAGAACACGCACCGAACGGTGGGTAGAGAAGGGGCGAAGGCACTACGTCAATCAGCGGCAGAGGCAGACCTGGTTCTTTGGTGTTGTCTAGTGCTGATACTGTACTATGCAACAGAACAAACGCTGGCTGGTGGCTGTGGCGAAAAACAGGGAAGCACAAACATCCCGGCAGTCGTCCCCCCCCCCTTGCTCCCTCCTCCCCTGCAGCGCTGCGGCCTCCAACGCAGGGGGGAAATGATCAACCCTCTTGCGATTTTCCGTGGTCGAGACGTCTCTCCACCGTCCCCCTTGCGAAGCGCGTGTCCCGCCTCATATCTCTGAAGCGCATGGGGCGGTGGGGAAAGAGGCGGATGAACGGAAGCACGAGAATGCCGGGAAAAGTTGGGGAGTGCATGTAGTTTGGGGACTGGCTTTGTACAAAGACAACTGCACGCCGCCGGCACGAGCTACAACAGGTAAATGGAATCAACTATCCGAATACCTCAGGTGGACGTGTTGTGTTGTACAAATATCCTACGGGCAACGATGCAGCCAGAAAACATGCGCAACCACGAAGCATCGGTGGCCTATTCCTACCACGTCCCCGAGCCCACGCCCCCCTCCCAATGAGCCTAGACACGAGCAATACATTATTCACCGATATCTTGAACCAACCACATCCCATGTCCATCGAGATATCCAAAGGAAGGAGTCAACTGATCGCATACCTTATCCCATCTCGTGAGAAAAACAAAACTTGCTGCTCTAGGTTCGGGAGAGGAAAAACAACCCAGAGTACCGACAACAAACGTCGGCGTTTCGGGCAGTGCCCCTTCTTCGCCGGTGTGCGTGCGCATGCGTGTTTGTGTTAACTATGTTGCACCGTCCGCGCTAACCGGCTGACCAAAGGAAAGGCACCCCGCCGATTGTTGGGGGTTCTAATTTTATTTCCTCTCACCGTCTTCATGCAGAAGCATGTTGGGCACGCCTTGTCTCACGGGAAACTTGCGGCCCGTCTCGGGGCAGACGAGCTCGCCCTCTACCAGGTGCACCTGTTTTTCGCGAAGCAGAAGAAAAAACAAGCAAAACCTTTTGCGAACGAAACAGAAAGAAGGAAAAAAAAAATCAAGAAACGAGCAGACGTTGTATGTACAACACAACGAATCTTGAAAAAGGTGGTGACGCGTATTCTTGGCCCCAAAGTGATGGCGGTCGGTTGTGGCCGTTCGTGCGCGCACGAGCTCCAAGTTTTCTTCAACCCCTGACCTCTTGTCACAGAAAATTAACGCCTCCTTGTCGCCTACGCAAAGTGCAAACCTTTCAGGGAATCGCGAACGCGGGAGCTAGAGCAGGAGGGGCAACTAACGGGTGCAGCGAACGATCGCGTCCTCCAACACCATGCGCCTGGTTTTCTCAAACTCGCACGAAATCCCCACAATCAAACCCGTCCCTTTCTTCCAAAAGCAGGTACTTCTCCGTGTCGGTACGACCCCGCGCTCACCCTCGCGCATGCGCATACTTACGAACACGAGACAGGGTACATGTCTGCGTGTGTGCTTATTCTCCGTAATAAAGACGAGAAATTCCAATCTTGCCGCGAGTCGCTTTTCACCTCCATGAGGGCATGATGAACTCTTCGCAACACCTCCTCGTCTCCTTTCATCTCCTCTGTCACCTGCGACGTCCGGTACATCGAATGTGCAAGGCAGCGAACAACAAATCAACACCAGGGGCGGCAGCGGCAACGGCGCTTATCGGTGGCTGCAGCGGCAGAGGCAGCAGCACGGAAACAAGTTCAAAAGACGGGATTCGAACCGAGCACAGAAAGCGGGCGAAACGGGAGAGAGAGAGAGAGAGAGAGAGAGAGAGAGAGAGAGAGAGAGAGAGAGAGAGAGAGAGAGAGAGAGAGAGAGAGAGAGAGAGAGAGAGAGAGAGAGAAAGAGAGAGAGAGAGAAAGAGAGAGAGACCCTGCTACTCAACCATAAATATTTAATAGGAAGAGGGGAGGAAGTTCGACTAATGTATCTATTCCTCCATGGATGTTTTTGTTCGAGCAAGTATTCTATCACCGACGCTTCGGGGTAGTGCAAAAGTCAACAGACTCCAATCAAAATCCAGTCTCCGAAACCTTTACGGTGAGGCCCCAGCCCATCCTCTCGAGTACTCCCTCGAGCGGGTAGTCCTTGGGAAGTCAAGCGTATTTCCTCGAGTCGACAGAACAAGAGCAACCGTTTGCTGTGTCGACTTTCTCTGGTGTTTCAGCTCATGTCATGGGATACTGGCTCTCCAGCCTCTTACACCCACCCCACCTACCCAGATTGGACAGGGTACTCGTGGGCGTGTGCGTGCTGTGTGTGCCATACTTCTTCCTCTCTCCGTACCCCCAAGAAGAGCAGGGTGTACACGGAGCTAACAACGGCAACATACACTGACGCTCGGCGGAGGGATGGCATCTAGTAGGTGCAACATCCGGTACGTGGCTCCAAGACACGACACTTGGTAGTACAGCCTTCCGCGATAACAAAGGGTAGCTACAAAGCAGTTCAATGGACACACACGGCGAGTGGTCGCAGGATCATGCACCCCACGGATGCTGCCGCACGTAGCAGCAGCAGTAGCCTGCACCACGATGACGTGGACAAGTATGCCTCGTTCGCTTTGGGAGACAGCTCAAGCTCACGCTATTTCCAATGAGAATGGCCAAGAGAATTGCAACATACGGGTCTGTCGCTCTAATACAACGGAGATGAATTTCTCCTGTGTCCCCGGTTGGTGCTCCAATTCATAGCGAACTGTGTAGACTGGCGCTCAGAATAGATAGGACTAGGTTATTTCGAGAATATCTACCGCGTGTGTGCTTGGCTGTCGTTCACCTCTTCAGGCAATTCCCCCCCGGCTTCGAGAGCAGTCGCGGCCGCCCTGAACGCATCCCATTCCAGCTTGGCCAGCATGTTGCGGATGAAATCTAATTCCGAGATAAAGCGCGCGGAAGCAGTGTACACGAAACACAAGGCCTGATTACATATGATATGGAGCGTGCAGAGGAATCCAGTAGGCACGCCTTCTTGGGTGTGCATGGCGCCATCTCCGTTCCCTACCTGCTTTTCTCGACTATGTACTAAAGTGGTCCTGCTTTCGAACAAATGAAGTACACATAGTCTACCGCTGTGTACTGCCGTAGACTACAGCAGCCTGAATAGTGGCAACTTGAAGAGTGGAACTGCCGATAATGTGGCATCAAAATCTCTTGCCACATCTCAACATGTACATGAACCCGATATATCGAATAGTGGCACTGCCCTGAACAGGGTATAGTGCCACATTATCCGCTTGCCCCTTTGCATACATGCCACAGAGCCTACATACATACATATGGGGCTGTAGATTCCCGCAGTACCGCTGTACATATCGGCTATTCAGACCCACACCTGGATTGAACTCCAGCTCCTGCTCCTCCATCTTGACGACCTCGATACCCAGCGGATAGCCTGACTCGACCCCCTTGATGTTGGACTTGAGCATGTTGTGCGTTATCAGCCGCATCTTTCCCTCGTCTCCCTAGGCGAAACGTGTACGAGAAAGCGCTGGAAAGTTGGCGTGACCGGAGAGAGTTTTTTTTTCGCTGTCTTTCCTGACGAAAGCAGTGGGCCAGAGGTAGCCCCTCACCTCCAATAGGCCTTCAACAGGGAACTCCTAATGTCCAAGACAACTTTATCCTGTATGGGTTGGTGAACCGTGCTGTTTGCCTCTCTCTGGCTCTCCTCTCTCCTCTCTCCTCCTGTCCTCTCTGTCCTCCCTGTCGGCGGGACTGTGAGTTTCTACCAAATGAGCACCCGGCGGGACTGTACCGTCCGTACGCCGCAAAAACGCCCTCAAAGGCCTGGCTTGGTTGGCTGGCGGTGGAGAGACACAGAGAGCGACCAAGGGCACAAACGCCCCCCGTCCGCGTCTAAAGGCATCCGTTAGGAGAGAGAAAGCGAGCACATCGTTGAGGGTGTCTTTCCTGCGGGTGTGCGGGGGAGAAAAGAGATTCGATTTCGATTGCTTGCGGCAGCACACCACGACGACGATGGGGAAAGGCCTTGTCACCGATGCCCCGGATGGCGCAGGGGCGGCGGCGGCGGCCTCTCCTGCTGCTGGGCTAACAGCTGCCAAGGTCACGAAGAAGAAGAAGAAGACCAAGAGCGTTGCTGTGGAAGATGAGAGCTCCGCGAAAAAGAAGAAGAAGAAGAAGGCCGCGTCGGAAGGAGACGACGATAAGGTGTGTGCGACAACTGCTCACAGCTACAACAGCTGTACGCAGGTCTTGCTTCGTGTAGCGCCTGCTGCTGCTGCTGCTGCTGCTGCTGCTGTGCGGCAATGCGTGGTGTTATCTGGGTCTATGTCGCCGTGCTCGCTGCATTGGATAGCAATGACACATGCGGTAAGGGCGCGAAATGGGATGTGAACATCGACACATAACTTCGCCACACCAGCATGGACCAAAGAAACCAGGCGTGGCACTGCGAGACCTCGTGAGTCGTGATCATGGGCACTCCTGGGGTTGGCTTCGGTGTTATTGTCTAACTTCAAATTCAACTGAGTTGTGCGGTTTGCTGGGACTCCCTGAGAGACAACATGCGACACATCCTTTTGTTCACCCTTGGGGGTGTTTTGACTGAACTTTGTTGTTGCGTCAACAGCAGGCACTCCGGCACTCAGCGGGTAAACGCGGCAACGATTGATCCTTCCCCCGATCTTGCATCAAAATGGTTGCTCTGACTACGTTAAGCCGCCAAGTCTCTTTGGAAGCTTTTGGCAGAGACGAGGTAGACCACGGCTATAACTTATACTTTAATTTTGAAGGCAAGCTCTCTTGAGCCCTCCAGCATACTGCTGCTGGTATGCATGCGTCCCTCGAAGTTTACCCGAAGATCATTGCCTCCTGCCGTAGTTTTTTTACTGTGCGCAGTACCTGCGCAAGTATTGGTGCTTGACCCGGTGCTGTAAAACCCATACACTGTACCAGGTATATCCAGAAGTACATATTTAACCTGGCATTTCGTTTCACGAGTACTATTCATCTTCCGTCTTGGGCCGGCCGCATGATTTTCGTAGCGCCACCGTGGCCACACCGACGTCCAAGTTCCTCGGAGATCAACACCTCCCGATAGCCGTATGTACGCCCCCCCCCAGGGGTGGCGCGCGTGTGTTGTTGTGTTGAGGGCCGTGGTCGCCGTTTTTTTCCCACTCACGCCCCCACGGGTGGGAGATCTGGGCGACGACCTCGGACATCCATTCGTATAATTCTATCCGATGTGCTGCCCAAAATGGACGTGGAAGCCGCTAGTATATCGTGATACACATTTATCTAGTTTAAGGCGTTGTCGCTTTTTTCTTTTTCTTGATGGACGTTAGCGTTGGACGGTGTGTGCTGTAGCACGTAAATGGCCTCGCGTGGGCGCCGGCAGTGGTAGATCTGTTCGAATGCTAAGGTATTTTCTTGATGACCTCTTTTTTTCTGAGAGCATGTCGATGTTGTTCACGGGCGGAAACAAGCGTGGTAACGACCCCGACAAGACCAGCATCACTTATCAGCTGCTGCTTCAGCAGCAGCAGCAGCAGCAAAAGGTACACTTCCACCGGCAAAGCTTTTCGCGTTGGCTCCTCTCCCTTACCCTTATCCCTCAGCCTTCTGTCAATAGTATGCTTTTAATCTCTTCCTCTCTTGACACGTTCAACTAGTCAATGCCCATCCCCGCACCCTTTCGCACACCCGAGAACAGGCCAAGACCAAGAAAGTCAAGAAGAAACGGGCTCGGGACGAAGGGGACGACACCGAAGGAGGCGGTAGCGCCGCCGAGGCCACGACGGGGACGATCTCCGCGACGGAGGCGGCAGTAATCGTCTCCAACGGCGCTGCTGCTGCTGCGCCGGCGAAGCGCGTGCGGACGCGATCGATGGATGCCGCGGAGGCTGCAGCGGCGGCGGGGGCCGGCGAGGTACAGAAGGGGGAACGACGTGTGGGTTATGCATTACGAAGCATGGGTGTTGTTTTTTTGCCAGCAAGTCCCGCAGTATGGGGAGTCTTCAGCGGCGATGTTTGCCGTCATGATGTCTTGCTCTTCAGCTGTGTATGTGAGGACGCCACAACGTTGAGGCAGTGCCCCTATTTGGCGTCGGCGGCTTCAGGACGTACGGACGAACTTTCGACGCATAGTGGCGAGTTAATCCGCGTGCTCACCCTTCCCACTAGCACACAGATTTTCGCTCTTTCCTGTGTCCTTGTTCATGTTGTTTTTCACCGTGTGGCCTGCGCTTGGGCCGGTGTATCGTTCATGCGTCGGTGCTCGCGTCGGTGCTCCCGCCGTTGTTTTGTGTCTGTTCATCGTGGAACGTCATCTAAGCAGGGAGCAGCAGCAGCAGCAGGAGTGCAACACCCGAGCGTTGACGAGTTTGACATCAGCGAGACGACCAAGGGACACCTCCGGAACAGGGGGATCACCACCCTCTTCCCAATCCAGGTGTGTGTTCCACGCGGTTGTGTGTTGTCCTGGGGGCTTGGCATCGAGTAGTGGTCCCTGAATTAAGGCCGACTAGTGGCAAGGGATTTGACCGGATACGATGCGGCACGCGTGGCATTTTTCAGAGTACCAGATCACTTGAATCTTTGTATCCCGTCTGTGTGTGGTGATTTCATTGGCCTTGTACAATGGCGACGGGTGTTTTTTTCTGTGACCATAGTCAGGTAACACTGGGGTGCTTGCCTTTGTTAGGTGTGCCCTCTGCACGCCGACAACGCAACACGTACAGCAAGCAGTACGGGCACGCAATCTCTGTCCCGTTTGATTTTGTTTCTTGGGTCGGGGCTGCTGCTGTCTCACTTGGTGTTAAGTTTTCCTAGGCTTCGTGCCGAAAGAGAACATTATCTGTTCTTGTGTGCACTCCTGCCCCCAAAATGGCGTCGGAGGTCGGAGGTACCCTTCCACGCCTCTGAACACCGGAAACCGCCGCTACTCGATAAACACGTACGGAGCCCCCTTGCCCCCCCCCCCCCCCCTCCCCCGATGTTTGCCATCGGGGTTGGGTTTTCGTCGCTTGGCAACGACGTTGTAAAACATGCCGCCCCCCCCGGTGTTTGTCATCGGGGTTGGGTTTTCGTCGCTTGGCAACGACGTTGTAAAACAAGCCCCCCCCTCGGTGTTTGCCATCGGGATTGGGTTTTCGTCGCTTGGCAACGACGTTGTAAAACAAGCCAATTCACTTCGTGAACTCGGCAACCAGGTTACCGTTTTTTTTTTTTTACCTCGGTTTTTTTTTTTTGGCGGTAACCATAATGGTGGTCGAGTAGATCATGTTGTGCGGGGTCGAGAAACCTCACTCCGCGCAACGGGGGATGATCGTACCACGTTGTGTTAAAATGGTCAAGCTTCCTCGAGGCAGTTACACAGTGCTTACAACTGTCTCTGGAAGTGAAAGCACCAGAAAATAAATTAAGTCATACGTAGCTGTCATCCGTACGCAAGGAAGTAAGCACAAGATGCCGAACACCCTTAGCAGGATGCAGCTCACCCTTCATGCGACTCGCCAAATACCTCACGGCGCTTCGCGCTTGGTGATGTGAGAGCCTGGTCCGGTGAGAACCCGGCGTGCTCCGTCCCGGCTTTGTAGGGATGCGAGGTCAATGGTCAAACGACTACGGCATGCACGACTATGAGTACACCCCCCCCCCCCCCCCCTGACCTCCCCAACAATTGCCCTGCCCTCTCCCCTTGCCCGCGCCAGAAAGGTTTAATCAGCTGCTGCTTTTCTCGAGCTCCTGACCTCGTTCCCTTTCCCCGGCGTGTACACGCAGGAGATGTAAACTGCCTTAACAGGATCCGCAGGTTCACCCCACCTAGCACATGTCACTTTTGTTGCACCCCGTGTTCACACATGCTTCAACTATAGGCTCAGACGTTCGAGCACATCCGGAGGGGCAAGGATTTGATTGGCCGAGCCCGCACGGGCATGGGCAAGACGCTCGCCTTCGCCGTGCCCGTGATCGAGAAGCTGCTCATGGCCGGGGCGGGCAGCCTGAAGCCCGGCCGCAAGCCCAGGGTGCTGGTAATGGCTCCCACTCGAGAGCTGGCGAAACAGGTGCGTTGGGTTAGTTGTTAGTTTGGACCGTTCACCTTATCACATAATGCAGCTGGTGGTTGGTTGACGTTGGAGCGGACGATGTGGTCGTCCTCTTTTCGATCAAGACCTCATCTTGCCACCCCACTGCGTCGGACTGCGCGCGGCTCCTTCGTACGAGTGCGTTGATGCGACTTCGGCCGCCTTCGGCCTCCGTGCCTGCCGCTACGGCCGTGCCGTTTTTTTTTAGCGTAAACGTGCGATCAAGGGCCAACGAAACAACCAACGAACCGTGAATGATTCGTTCGATCGGTTGATTGACCGATGGATGTGCGTGTGCGTATGCGCGTGTTGTATGGGTTGGATGCGACACCCAGGTTGCGGCGGACTTCGAGCTGACGGCGCCATCTCTCAAGACCACGTGTATATACGGAGGGGCACCGTATCGTCCCCAGGTGAAGAGCACACCCCGGTGGTGTGTTTTTTGTTCGAGCATTGCAGAATCAACACAGTGGTAAGACAGCAACAACACCTGCTGCTTCCGATGTGTGTTCTATTGTAGTCGTGAACGTGGTTTGTCTATCGGGGCAGTTATCTGTACGCGATAGTTGGTGGCAATGGTGGAATAATGGCGCATGGCGCGCCGTGCCATGATAGTCTACGGAGCGCTCGCTAGAGGCATGCTCTTGTGGAGTTGCGTGAGCGCCTGTGTGTTACACATGCGCCTCTCGTCTCTTGTTGCATCCACTCTTGTAGATCGGCATCTGTAACATGGAGCCACAGCAACACAGAGATCATTTTCACTCGCCAACCGGTACAGTCCGGGGCACATCCGCGATCATGATTCGTGGAATTTTTCTCAAGCCGTGACACGAGGACTATTCATCTTCCGTCTTGGGCCGGCCGCACGACTTTCGTGGCGCCACCCTGGCCACACTGACGTCCAAGTTCCTCGGAGATCAACACCTCCCGACAGCCGTATGTACGCCCCCCCCCGCTTTGGGGTGGCGTGTGTGTGTGAGTTGTTGTGTTGAGGGCCGGAGTCGCCGTTTTTTTTTTGTCCCACGCGACCCCACGGGTGGGGGATCTGGGCGACGGCCTCGGACATCCATGCCTTTTGGATTTTCTCCCCAAAAATCTCGAATTGTTGTTTAGCCCACCATAGTACACACACCGAAGCTTTGCGCCGCGTGCACGCGCACGCGAAGTTCCCCCCCCCCCTTTTTTGTCGCCCATACCGACATCGGTACGTATTTTTCCGGAGTATCTAAACCCCCATGTGTTGGCGCCGAACTCCCTGCCCTCTCCGCTTCGGAACTCCCCCAATATTTGGTACGAGGAAGACCCCGTAACGTTCGTGGGTTGTGTGTTTGTTTGTGGCTCGGGTTCCTAGGGCGGTGTTGGTGTTGTTGGTTCGTCGTGGCATGCTTGTGACCAATCCAAATCATGCTTGCGCATCTCGCCTTCTCTCCGACCCCCCTTTTTCTTTTTATGTCAGAATAACCTTGCAGGCTTGCTTTTCAATTTGATCCCGCACGAAGGAATTGCGGAGGAGCGGGCTTGAGTTGATCCATAAAGCACGACAGCGGAGCACCATTAACAATCCTGACACGAGGGCCTTTTTTTTTTTTTTTTTTCTCTCTCTCTCTTTGGCTCCGCTGCCTACTTCGGACCCCTCTTGCTGGCTACTGTCATCGTACACAGGAGGACGCCCTGAGGTGGGGGGTGGACGTTGTGGTTGGAACGCCGGGACGGCTGCTTGACCACGTCGGCAGGGGCACGCTCCAGCTCTCGGACGCGGAGTTTATCATCCTCGACGAGGCCGATCAGATGCTCGACATGGGGTTTAAGGAGGAGATGGAAAAGGTGAGTGGCGGCGGCGGCGGCGGCGGCGGCGGCGGCGGCGGCGGCGGGGGGGGGGGGTTAGCATGCTTTGGCGGTTTTTGGCCGTTGACCAAGCGTCCTCTCAAGAGGACGGCGCATGGGATGCTGAGTTGCACTAGTTGCCGCGGTTAGTGTTAAGAGTATGGCAGGGGTGTTCATGCGGGACCGCGGGGCTCGGAGTGAGCCATCCTCTTTTCAGGAAACTAACAAGAGACAAGGGGTCTTGTTTGTTGGTCCCTGTTCGCTTCGGCTAAGATGTAGCAGAAGCCCCTTCTCCCTGCTTGTCTTTTTTCGGTGAAGGGGTGTTTTTTTTTCTTTCTGCGAAATAGGCCCGGCCGATTGCACTTGCCTCCATGTCCGAGCAAAGCTTGGACAAAGAGGCTTTCACTCTCAATCCGTCTCAACGACCGAGTCAATGGTCTCACTCTCACTCTACTGCGGCAAGCGCTATTGGGAACCAAGTACTGGTCTCGATCTCCACCAAATTCAATTTAACTTTGTATTCATATATTTGATGTACGTTTTGACTAGTAAAGTTTTGGAGAGCCTTGTGTAGAAGGTGGTGAAGGCAGTCACCATTCGCTCGAGACCTGTGGCGCGACTTGAACCTGTGCATCACGGGCGCGTTTCGACACAAAAACAACGCGGGGGCAGGTCTTCGAGGCGTGCGGGGAGGAGGGGGAGCAGGGCCGCCAGATGCTGCTCTTCAGCGCGACGATGCCCCCATGGGTGGACAAGGTGGTGAAGGAGTACATGAAGGAGGACCGCGTGTTTATCGACCTGGTGAAGGAGGGTACGGTGAAGGCCTCCAAGGACGTCGAGCACATCGGCATCCCTTGCCATTGGACGAGGTGTGTTGCTGTGTGTTTGCTCCGGCCCCTCCTCTATCTGTCTGCGGCTGTCTGTCTGTCTGTCTGTCTGTCTGTCGGTTGGTTTTGGCGGTGCCCAACTTCGTAGCCCATGCTCGCGCTGATTTGTCTTTCTACCACGTCAGACAGGCACAGACCGGCGGGCAACCATAACTGAAATTCTGCCGTTTCTGTATGCTTTCTGTGTTGCCCGTCCTTGCCGCTGTATACAGCCGGTCGAGCACGATCAACGATATCGTCAGCGTGTACGGGGCCGGCGGCAACAAGCGGACCATCGTCTTCTGCACCACCAAGCGCGACTGCAACGAGCTGTGCATGGACCCCAAGGTAGGAGAGGGGGGGGATGGATTGAAGCAGTTTCAGTGCTTTGCAGCAGCAGCAGCAGCAGCAGCAGCAGCAGCAGCAGCAGCAGAAAGTTAGCGTTGCGGTTGAATTGGCTGCGGCGTTGAGACCGGACTATCTCTGAAAATCACTTGCGTTCATACCACGGGTTCGTTAACGAGTTGGGCCATTTTCTCCATTTTCTAGCTTGCTGAGTCATCCGCGGCAGCCTCGATCGTTTATCTCGTCACCCACAAGCCTACCAACATGGCCCCCGAGACGTTGGAGACAATCGTCGCCTCGTATTGTCCGTTTCCTTTGTTTTGCTGTATTAAAGCAGCTTTGTCGTTATTGTCTTTCGCTTTGGTGCGCCTGCGCATCCACCTGTAGAGATACTTTGTTTCTTTGCCGCACAAGGTGTGTTTTTTGGGCGTTTCATCCATCCGTCTGCGTCAGTTTTAGGTGCGCGTGGATGGATGCCACTGGTGCCCCCTGTCAACTGGTGCGGCGATCGCTTTCACTACCCTGTAGTGGCGGCTTCAGCTGCCGGCGGCATTCTCCCTGCTTCAAATGCAGCCCCTTGTGGTGTAGTTTTGTTGTCAAGGGAGACAAGGTACATGGCGGGTGTATTTGTGAAGTCGATGCACACATTGACGCCGTTGTCTTTGCCACCGTTGTTGTCGCTGCTGCTGCTACTGTTGCTGCTGCCGCCGCCGGTGCTGCTGCTGCCTCCGTGGGTGTCTCCCCGTGGGATCTGTTGATCAGATGACATACGACTGCCAGGCACTGCACGGAGACATCACCCAGGCAAACCGGGAGTCGACGCTAGCCGGGTTCAAGAAGGGCTCGTTCAAGGTGGGGGCGACGTGTATCGCGACATGCACGTGGGGAGGGGGGGGGGGGGTGATGATTATGCCTACAGCAGTTCTCTCGAATTAGCTTTCCGATCGTGACACTGCCCACACCATCATGTGCAACCGTTCGCCCTTTTTTTTTTTTCGCTCTTGACAGACGGCAGTAGTGGAATTGTCTACTGCTGTTCCACCTGCCGCAACCCTTTCGTGCAATTGCGTTCGCTTCTCTGCCAGTGGTCGGCGAAATGACCCGCGTGTGGACATGCCAACAAGCGGTTCCGTCGACTCTGATTTTGTTCACATTCCCGCCCACATTCATTCGTATTGTCACTCGCAACACCAACACACGGGACGTTCACTTCACACCACTTGTTGAAGGCCACGAGATGGTAAAATCGCAGGCTCTCGCGGCGTTTTCATTTCTTGCCCATTTGTAACACGAATTTGTTATGTTCTATTTTTTCTTCGTGTGGTCTCTTGTGTGTTTTTGAAGTAATAGCATCGATCTCGCTAAAAAGCGCCTGACAACCAAGGAATAGCCGCCATTCTTGTAGCGGGAGAAAAAAAGTGACTCGCGTGTGTTATTTATTTGTTTTGTTTTCTTATTGAATGTACCTCGTACAAGCACAAGAAAACAAGTCCATCTCGATCCATAGATAGGGGTCTATGATAAAATACGCGCTTCTTTTTTGTTTTGCGCTCACTCTTCGCCCTCACTCCCACGACCGGACACGATGGCACAACCAAGGTCCTGGTGGCTACCGACGTTGCCGCCCGGGGCCTGGACATGATTGTAGACCTCGTGCTCAATGCTGAGCCGCCCACCCACCAGTCCGGCCGCGTGGACACAGAGTCGTACGTTCACCGCTCGGGGAGGACCGGCAGGGCGGGGCGCAAGGGCATGTGCATCACGCTCTACACCCCGCGCCAGCGGGGGGGGCTCGGCGAGATCGGTGAGAGGGAGGGGGGGGGGGGGGGTAGTGCGCGGAACGGGTTTTTGTGTCATGGCATCTGGTACAACGGGACTTGGCATCGTGCACGTTTAGAATGTTTTTCTCGTAGTGCGCGTAAGAATAGCTTTTTCTAACGTAGACGTTAAGTGTAACGGCGGCGGGGCCTCTCTCCGTCGTTTTCCTCTCTCGTTTTGATTCATTCGCTCTACATTGCGTCATTTGTTTTTTCTTTGCGTTCAGTGAAAAACCTAGCACGAGTTTACCTCGTTATTCCACCGGTGTCGGTGTTTTTTCTCCCGTTTGGTTAACGACAACAGAACGCCACATCGGCAACGACTTCGCGTGGCGGGGGGCTCCGCAGCCTGATGACATCGTTAACGCCTCCGCCGGTGCGGCGATCGACGACATACGAGCGGTGGACGACAGCGTCATCGACCTATACAAGACCGCCGCCGAGCAGGTGCCCCACGATTTATTGATTGTTTTCACGTTGATCTACATCGAACGAGGCATCACGATGATCTATCGAACGATCGGGTCACAACGATCCATCGAACTCTAGATACCTTTTCACGATCTATGGAAATATTATTGCACAACAATCTATGGAATGATGGTATACATGGTATAATAAGTATTATTTCACGACGACCTCGAATGATGGTATCACAACGATGTATGGTATCGAAATATTAATTTCACAACGATCTATTGAATGACGATATCGCAACGATCATTGCTACACTGTCAAATGACGATGTACGATGCCTTGTTATTGTCACGAGGACGATCTCTTCGGGATAGCTTGTCGAGCATTTGATCGTCCAGCGTTTCCAAAACAGGTTCCATGAACCCGCGGTAAACGGCGCCGCGTTCCCGTCGAATCACTGCAGCGGGGCAAAAACAAATAGCGAGAAACTGCTGCTACGCGCACACATTGCTCCTACATTTTGTGGTTTGCTCCTTCCTCCCCCGAACCATCTCCCGGTCTCATCCCGAACCCCCCAACATCCACGTTAACCCCCGCGCGACGAATGGTCGATTTTTCCGTTGGGTCGCGGTTTGGTCGTCGCCCTCTCTTGCTTGTCCTCGGCCGTTTGCAATAATATCCGCTGCACAGCTAATCGACGAGAAGGGCGCCCTGAACGCTCTCTGCGCGGCGCTGGCCTGCATGACCGGACGCACGGAGGCCATGCCGGTCCGCTCCCTGCTGAGCAACAGCGAGGGGCACGTGACGATCATCTTCCGGAGCGACCACCCGATCGAGTACATGGCGTACTGCTGGACCGCGATCAGGAAAGTCTTGTCCAGCGCGGCGGCTGACAACATCCGTGGCATGCAGGTATGTGATACTACTGTCCGTGTGTGTGCTTTTTTGTCTTCCCCCCCCCCCGTGTTATTTGGTTCTCGTCTCCCTCCCCCACAGCCCCGCCGTTTTCTCCCTTGAGCCCCTGTCCTCTAGACACGCTACTTTGTTGTTTGTTTGTCCCTTTGCGGCCCGCGCACCGCTCTTGCGTTGGTGTAGCCTTTGGTTCTCTGTGGGCGTTCGTTTTTTTTTTTTTCGTCCTCCATGGTTGTGGTTCAGTTCCCTTTTTGTGTTTCTGTTTTGCGTTGCATTTGCCTCTTGATCTAACCCTGGCGGGGACATAGTACGAACAAGAGACAATCGTGTAGTCGCCGGGTTTCCCAGACAGGGAGACCGTGAAAAGGGATGTGACGGCATAGTCTGCATATATGTCGCCTTGCGGTGCGAGAATCTTGGTCGAAAACCAAGCCAGAAAACATGATTTTGTTTTCATATCCCGTGGATGGCTGTGGGTGGGCGCGTCTTGTTCAGTGCGTCTTGCTCGTCGACGCGCTTCTTTTTGTGCACCTCGCTCTCTCATCGACAACGCTTGCGCTCCGTAGTTCGCTCCGATTTCAATAGTGTGTTCGCGTCAATTTCTGAGAATTTGCCGTCGTGTTTTTGGGATTTTGTCTGCGTCTTCTGCATCCCTGGGTTTGGTTGCGCCGACTCCGGTCTCAAAAGGTGTTGAGCTAAGCAAGAGGGGTGGTAGGGATCCCTTTTGTTGGATCCATATGAGACATTTAGTCCCTCTTTTCCCTTCCTGTATTCATCGCAATGCGTGTGCCCTCTGGAAAACCAACAGCTGTCAGAAGATGGGCTGGCTTGTGTATTCGACGTTCCAGAGGAGCACATGGAAGGGGTCAGGGACGTCTGCGAGAGAGAAGACTGGCTCGACATATGCACCGAGCTCCCGCCCCTGAAGGTACGCTACAACTCTATTTCATTGGACGTACGCAGCAGCAGCAGCAGCAGAAGCATTATTTGTCTCATCGCGGATCGGTTTGGTACCGCAACACACAAGACGGTTCCCACAGTCTTGATTGGCGGTACACAATTGATTTGTCGTGACAGACAGCAGTGAATGTGAATTTCCAATCGCCGCAAAAGGAGGCCACATTGCAACCCCTTTCCCTCTTGTCATATGATTTGGTTTGTTTTTCTACCGCAGAATTGACAAGGACTCACTCCCGAGATGGTTCCGAACCCACAACCCGCTGCTATTTAATAGGTTGACGAGGTTTCCCACTAGAGACCGGTCTCTACCTGCTGATTGCTGTCGGCCTAACGAATCCACGGTGGAATCTAATCACCGTCACAACCTCCCTGTCCTGTACGATTCCACGCGTGGCATTTTTATTTCCTGTGCTGAGCAGCGGCGAGCGGATGAGTACCAACGCACCATGCGAGGGGGGCGCGGCGGACGCGGTGGGGGAAGGGGCTCCGCACGTGGGGGCGGGCGAGGGAGGGGTGGGAGGGGGGCGGGGCGGGGTTGGGCTGGCGGCCGAGGGGGCGGCGGTAGGGGTGTCAGGGGCAGGGGGCGAGGGAGGGGAAGGGGGTGAACGGGATTCGATTGTGATGTCGGCGCATTAGCGGGGGGCGTCAAGTGACTCTTACGATTGCGGTCGGATGTACTGGTAGGTAGTATGAAGGTGCACCCCATTTGTTGTCATTGTTGTAGCATCGAAAGTCGTTCCAGCCTCAGCAACATAAATCCTGGTGTTGTCCGTTTGCTGATATACTCTTTCTTGTCTCGATGGGCTAGTAAGTAAGTGGAAAGGGAGGAAAAAGTAACTGTTTTTTTCCTTGGTTGACCAACCGGTGCGAATCGATGCGCATTCGTTTTGGTATTACTGCTGCAGAAGGACGATCACTCTGCCGGCACATCGTTTTGAGTAATACACAAAAGAACATGAGCCTTTCTTCCGTTCAGCTAGCGCCCGCACTTAAAGACCTCTACTACATAGGTTCGGCCGAGGCTGGGGTTGGTACAGTAGTTCCAATGGCACGCTGCGAATGGCCGCTATATCGGATTTAGTGTGGGGTTCTTCACCGAGCGCGCAAATGGTGCTCAAGTGCCAACCTTCTTTGAAGTAGATTTCGAGGCTCAAAGTCCTCAAGTGCGGGTGCTAACTACTGCTGCTGTGTTGTAGCATACCATATTTTATTCCCTTTTTCTCCCTGTACCCCCCGTGGGCGAACTTCTTCTTGTACGAGCCGTGCGAAGTTACCGACCGTGTGACTTTCTCCCCGACTAGCACTAATAGCACTATTTTATGGCGGCACTCACTCGCTTGTGGAAGGCGCGCATCGTACATCTAGATGTGGTCGGCGGTTTGGTCGGGGTTGCGAGCCCGCAACGGGCACACCTGGCTGGAGCAAAAGAAAAGAAGCGTGCAACTCGCCGTCCAAAGATGTCGGTGGCCAAGCGGAATCAATCATCTGGGTGCAGTGCGTGCGTTTGTTGTGCTCGTCGTTGAGATAGACCGTGCAGCAGCAGCAGCACCGATTCACCGGAGATAGGTACGTGCACAATCCAATATCCGGGTGTGTCCAGGTGACCACAGCAGCCACGCAGAGCAGAGCACGAAGATAGAGACCGAGGTCGAGAAACGGGCGGCAGAAGCAGCTCTCGGGCGATAGGCGAAAGGGAAAGGGCGGAACAATACTCTCGCCGTAATCAAGATATTTTTGAGTGAAATGTTCCAACGAGGGTGTGTGGACATACGCAGATCGGTCTGCTCCTTTTGCATATCTACCTCTAGCTAGCCCGGTCTGCGTGCCACAGCAGTGTTTGCAGTAGCCGGCTTCAGCACGGCTTCCACTTCGCTGCTACACCTGTGTACCAACAGCTCTTCACATTATTCTGTTCTGATGTATCCACCGAAATTTCCGTTGAAGAAAAGGCTTCTGTTCTGATACGTAAAAATCTGCATGCATGTGTATGCATACAACATGCACGACGAGGCGGAAGATGTTTGTTCACCAACTGCTTGTCGGAAGCAGTCATACCATAACTCTGCTGAGCATGTGTATCTTACGGATCTGGGCATACTCCTGGGCACGGAATTAACAATAGAGCACTTTTGTGACGAGGGTATTGCCCTCTTTCGTGTGCATCTGTCTGCTGTTGTGTTGGACAGCAGCCATCGTGTACGCTACATATTGCGCCGAGAGAGGATCCAATCTGAATCTTCCTGTCTCATCATGAGCAACCGACCAATATTGGATCTTAGATCCAAGGGTAACGGTCGTGTTCCACGCCGCTTGCTGATGACAATCAACTACACACCCACACCCACCCACGCTTTCATTCACTTACCTCCTCTCATCCTCTCACCCTACTTCTGTAGACATCATCACGTCTTCGGGGCCACAGCAGTTTCTACATTTTCGTGAATACAGGAGAAATCGGTGAGCATAATCCGGCCCGTGTTGTTGCTGTTAATATTATAGCAAGAGGAGCCTTGCCCCTCCGACGTCTGACGTCTGTGCGACATCTATCTGTGCCCACGCTATTTATTACATAGCGCAGCATCTCGAGGGGGCTTGTATATAACGTTGGAGATTGGTTTAGCTACTGTGCCCCGCTGGAGGCTCTAACGTAGAGATTGTCACTATACGCTGTCGAGCATGTACGTACGCCATGTTTACGTGCATTCGGTCAACTCGGCACCTGTGTGAAAACCCCCCAACAGTTGTGAGCGGGGAGACCGCAAGGATTTTTTTATCTCTTTTTTCCCTGCGATACCTTGTGGAATGCCGTTGTCTGTTTTCTGTCCTTGATCGGAACGCGGTTCGTTGGCGGTGCTGATGGAAAGTACGAGAATGCCTGTCGATCACTTTTCACGGGAAGCACGCCCCACACGAAAGACCACGAAAATCTGGCATCTTTATTGTTCGGCGCAGCAGTTTTTGTGGAACGTTCCGGTTTCGTGGTCTCCTTTGTGTTGTTCTCGAATTGTAAGCCATGTAGACTAGTCTACGTGTAGACTGTATTTGAGCACGAAAGGGTAGTACTGTAGACAAATTTCAAACACGGGCCCGCGTAACGGACTTCAGATTTCAGAGTTGTTGTCTTCTGAAGACACTCGTACCAGGTATGTCAGTTGCTAATCCCGAAATCTAGCAAGACTCGGTCCGTCCGTGGTCACAAAAAATGCAATAGCCATCAGAAGATCCAGACTGTGGTCTAGACCGCGCACACTCAGCAAGAAAGGGAATACAACGTGACTATCCTGGTTCGTTTCTGCTTTCGGACCGTTCTCAAAAATGAGTGACTTTGAAGTTAAGTTGTGCAACCGTCACGGGTACGTGTAGCGTACTTTTGGTATTTGAAAACATGAAAACCGTATGTCCGAGAGCATGTGTGCGAGTGGCGGAAGCTGGGCTGCCATGCACCGAGGCCCCAGGCTACATCCGCGGCGTGTGCATTTTCTGTGTTTGTATGAACGGCGACCACGAAAACGCAGGAACGCTCTTGCCGACACCGTTGCAAACTGAAACTCATATTATAAATTGTTTCAATTGTTTTTCTAATCGAAGCTTCTCGCAGACACGATCCAAGATGAACAAGTCGTTCCTATCGGTGTGTGCTGGGCCGCTGCTGCTGGCCCTGGCTGCCAAGGCCGGCCCCAATGACGACTACAACCCGCCGGCCACGACCCCGTCCCCGACCACCGAGATCTACCCGGACTTGAATGAATCGTACGAGGCGGAGGTAACTCCGGAGCCGGTCATGGACACCCCGGCGCCCTCACCCGACATGGAGACCACGTCCGGGCCTACGGAGTACTACGTCGAGACGACGGAGGATGGAGACATGGAGAAGATGCCGAAGTCGGACGGTGGGGCGGAGGAAGAGGAAGAGGAAGAAGAGGAACCGGTGCCGATGGAGAACCCCGAGGACGGGATGTCCTGCTCCACATACGATGAGGATGTAAGACCGTTGTGGACACCATGCTCTCAAGCTTGCTTTCCTCACGCTGCGACTCACTCTCACGTGGTTTTTTTGAGTTTTGAAGACGTCAACACGCCAACCTTCTCGCTTAACAAAAGAATGACCAAGCCCACGTTTTCGACAGCCCCGACCAACGATTCGAACTTTCCTTCTTTTTCAAAACCGACACCCTCAGGTGGATGTGGCCACTATCCTCCCCGAGACTTGCGAATGGAACACCTACATGTGCTGCTGGACCGGCCACGACGGGTCCAAGGGCATGTATGGCAACGCCGATGTCTGCCGCGTGCTGGACTACCCTGAGGAGGGCGACGTCCTCGAACTGCCCCGCGACGATGAAGGCCCTGTGTACTGGTGAGTTGGTGTCCCGTGATCACCTGAGATATCGTAGCGTTGCTTTGTGGTTGTCCGTGCCCTGCAGTTCATCCGTTCGAGGCGTAGGCACATGGGAGAATTTCGTCGTGGCTGTTGATGGCAAAAGGGAAGCCTTGATAGGCGCGCAGACGTCTTACTGTGCCAACTGCAAGCCGACTAGTGCATGGCAAAGGCAACACCTCACTCTCGTCGTTCTTCCCGGCGTTTCACCCTCCCGCCCGCCTTCCCAATGCGCATCGAACGACAGCCATGGCTTTGCTTGGGCAGACGGCGCGGACATCGACAGCCACATCCTCCCCCTGTACCACTACGTGACGAACGTGAACCGCACCGACGAAGGGGGGTACTACGGAAAGTGAGCTCATAGCACTGTCACAGGCGTTAGCGTTCGTCTCGCAGCGGAATGCCACGTATGTATACCAAATTGACCAGCCACGCTATTGATGACATCAATTTTGGCACACAACGGCAGGTGAAGTGATCTATGTACAGGTTAACAGGAAGGCTACTCCGTAGCGTGCGTCATTATGTTCGGCAGCAAGGAGCTTCTGCTTGTGTAGAGGGGTTCAAGCAGAAGGTTTATGTTGCTTTTGTCGAGAGAGAACAGAGTCAATGGGGTTTCGCCTATGCTTGTTGATTATAGTGGCAATAGCACTAGGTCCCTGTATGTGCTCGGTCCCTGTGCTACTCCTTTATTTTGTCTGCCGTATATTTTGACGTTCAAGTCTACGTCACAAGAATCATCCTACACGACCAACAAACGTTTTTCTCCCGCTACCTGTGCTGACACTCGCAGCGTCGAGGGATCGCCTTCGTGCGGATGTATCGAGGACATGCCGGTCGTGTCCAACGCGGCGTGCTCCAAGTGAGTTTTGCTTTTTGTTTCTCCCAACCGTTTCGTTCGACGTTTCCAAGGCAAAATGTCAAGCGGCCCGATCTCGAGCATTGCTATTCACCAGAGTTACAAAACAATTTACACACGTAAATCTTTCGAGTTGAGGGAATCTTCTCGCTGACATCAGGTTCGTCAACTTACTTGTCGAGGCACTCTCGCCAAATTCTTGCTCACTTGCTCTTGAAACAACCCACCTGCCTGCATGGGTCGCTTCGTTGATCTGCCGCCTCTCGGGGAGTGTGTTGTGCGGTGATTGTCCAAAGAGAACTGTAGAGATTATTCTTTTGATAGAAGTGGCACACTGTTAGCGCAAAGAGACCTCTAAGTTTCACTATCATGCCTCATTCGTGAGGGTCCTTACGCCGCCGCCCCTCCCCCCCCCCCCACGGCTTCAATACACATCCGAATGCCTCGAAAAATCAGGTTCGGAGGCGAAGGGATCGAGCCGTGCTGGGACAACCAGCTTCGATCCCAGTACAAGTACAAGCTGGACGAGCCGAAGGGCGAGATGGAATACAACCTGGTCAGAGAGTGTGACAACGAGGACGTGCCCGACTACGACTTCCGCACCTGCAACCAGAACACGTACATGTGCTGCTGGACGGAGAATGACGATCAAGGGATGGCCGACAACACGGTAAGATGCGGTGTTCGCCCTGCCTTTTCAGTGTCTCTTTTG